TACTGCCCTGCTGCTCTGTATACTGACACCTGTATGTTTTTACAAGCTCCCAGTGATGCCTACACATACTGTCTGTTATCTTTTAGAGATGCCCATGAATTTGGAGTGTTTCAAGTTTAGATTTTAAATAGGTAGTCGGTTTATATCTCCTTCCTATTCTCATCCTATGGCTCTCTGCTGGTCAGTGAGGGCCACCGCGGGTCAGACAGACAAAAAGAGATCCAACTGGAGAGAGATCACTGACATAACATTTTACATTAAGATCAGAGTCTTTAATTGAATTTGACTTTTACTGACTGCTGAACTAAATCATCAGCTATTAATGGGCGAAGCTATTCATCGCCCTAAAAATATCAATTAGTACACGTCAGTAGCATTTTTGTTATTTGGTAGTTGACACTTGGTGGGATTTGAATAAAGCTTGTGCATGTAAACAGTATGACCTCAGTGTATGGAATGCATACGATTGCAACAGATAGGCGTAGGACTAGTGTCTTCCACTTTGATCTCCATTGCCAGTGCAATGATTTTCTGGTATTATAGTTCCCAGTCTGCAGAATGCTGATAATAAATAAATGTTACACACACGCACACCATACACGCACACCATACACAAAAAGATTTACAAATATCTTACTAAAGTGGTATTGTTAACAGAGGATCTCAAGTCCAGTGTGTGCTAGGAGCTTTAGGGAAGTTCACATTGGTATTGTCCTTGAACCTTTGCGAGTGTTTGGTGATTTTCAATGAAGATATATCAGGCTTGAAACATAACAGTAACGGTATTGTCTTCTATTAGCACAAACCTTAATTAGACATTTCAATTCAGAGACCTTAATGCCTTGAGGTGTATTGGATTGAAGCCAGGCATATGCTGTGGCTAATCTGGCACATAGCAGTCAGATAATGTTTTTTTAATAGTGAAGTTGAAGTGTACATGGAGAAATACTGTATATTAGGATATCTTCCAACACATTCCCTATCTTCCCAACTACAGTTCATAACAAACCTCACAGTGTAGAAAATCCAAGTGCCAATAGCTGTGGGTTCCTGATGACGGACTTGCCGTCCTTTTTGAACTGGATGTAAAGTTACTCTTATTAAAAAAAACGTAGATAGTTGAGTTCAGCAGAATTTTTATTAAGCAAATATAATCATGGAATACAAATGATGTGCTTTTGTTTTACAATGGCATTTCTTATATAACAGAACCAAGTGCAGGTGGTTCCCCTTGAGCACTTGTGTTGCTACAAAGGTGTTGATCTGGTCATAGAAAATATCTTCTTCTACATCTTGGTATTATGTTTCTTGACCAGCATTGTTTTTTTTGCATTAAAGTAGATATAAACCCTATCTGAAAAGCAGCTAAAGCACTGTGCATTTTAATCAATTGTATTTTTTAAAATTTCTTGTTACACCTTTTGTACTACTGGTTTCCTGCTTCCTTTGTGCAGTCTCTTCCCATCTACATGCATGGCATGTCTCATGGCTGGTTTCTGGATGGTGACAACAGTGAACCATGCCTTTTAGTAATGTTTGTAAAACAGCAACTTGTCTGTATCAGAAAGACGAGTGACAAGGTGACAATGTAGGAATACAGTTGAGACAAGGATAGAACATTGTCACCATTTGTTATTTGAATACTGCAAAACATAATCAAAGTGAATTTTTAAATACATTTACATATTTAAAGCTTATATTAGATTTTAGTGATTGTGTTTACATATGCTTTAAGCATTTGCACTGTCTAAGTCTCTTCACATATAGTGTTTGCGTTTCCCGCGCGGCACGTAAACGCTAAAATCATTACATCTGCGCGGATTCCGCTCATTTGTGGCTATTATTATAGCTGCGAACTTGCGGAATCCGCCCCTGGAATCGTGCTTGGACTATTTTGTGGGACGCATGGTTTTGGACCGAGCGCTCCCCACACTAACCTGAACGATGCACATTAAAATGCATTTTTTTTGTTGTTTAGAAGTTTCTGTGCATATTTGTATGGCGGAATACGCACGGAAAACAGCTCATGGGTGAATGGAGCCTCAGTGTAAAAAGATCAGTCCAACCAAAATAGACGTTTACATTGTTGGTAAGATGCTGATGAGTTAAATCACTTAACAGCTACTTGTATGTCCTGGGGACTCCTTCATATCTGCATAATAAAATTCCTGGGTTTACACACCTGCTGTGGCCATTATGAAGGTGTCCTATAATCCCTGTTTGTTTTTTCTTTTTTTATTATGGTGAAAGCAACAGGAAAATGCAGAAATCTACATAAAGGGGGGGATTTGGCCAATTCCAGGTTGTCAGGAACTATGTAGGTGATCTCATTGTTGGGATATTTGAGACCTATAGGGCCAGTGTGGATACGGTTTTTTTGTTCGTCTGAACTTCTCCTCAACCAATACAAATCTGCAAGAGCATAAAAACAGCCCGAAGCAGGTCAGAGGGAGGTGAAATGCATCTGTCAAAATCGATGCATTCTGAGTGATCTCAGAATGATCTTAAACTGGTGATAAAGGCAAGCTTATTGACATAGGCCGATAAGAAGCCAGAAGCTACATACAACTAAAATATTACTTTTGTATGGCCTGATCCTTTAAAGGAGAACTATGAGGTGAGTGCTTTTCAATCACCTCATAGTTCTAGCCGACCTGTGACAATGAGACTGTCACAGGTCGGCTCAGTAGATCGGGAAGTGAGCGAACATATACCGGCGTTCGCTCACTTCTCGATCCTGTCACGGCTCTCTGCCCTCCCCCTGGATTCCCCCCTCCCCACTCCGATCCTCCAGCACTGACTGGCGGAACGGACGGGGGAGGGGGCGGGTACAGCTGGCTCTGCCTCTAGATAGGCAGAGCCAGCTGTCACTCACGCAGCTGGGCGGATCCAGACATAATTGTCGGGATCCGCTTCAGCTGCGGGGTCTCAGTATACCGCGGTATACTGAGCTTAGGGTGACGGGAGGATGCTAGTTTGTGTCCTCCCGTTACCCTAAGGAGAACTATGGGGAAAAGCCCTAACCCCATAGTTCTCCTTTTAAATGTCAGTCCATCCAAAGACAATTTCATGTCTTTGGACAGATGGCATTCTCTGAATGCCCACTCTCTTAGGGCTCAGATTAAAGTAATCTTAATTTCAAAAGGTTTTTTTAAGACATTTCAAATGCTGATAAAATTACTTACAATGGATGCTGCTTCTTCATGTTTAACAGTTTGTTTCCTGTAGAATCTGGTCTTCTGAGCACTGGCCCTGATATCCTGTTTTAGGGTGGCTCCTTTCCCTTGTATGGTATCAGGTTGTTGATGGTAGGAGCCCAGACGGGGGGGTACTTGCCAGTACGATTGGTACCTCTACTCAAGTAGACTAGGATAACGTACAATCTCCTGCGTAGTGGTAGCCAGTACAGGGGCAGTCCAAGAGCACAGTAGCAAAATCACAATCCGGAATCAAAGTCGTTGAATGTAGCAGATGTCGGTGCAGGCAGCAAAGCATCAGGGTCACGGAACAGGCCAGGGGTCGGTAACAGGAATCAGAACAGGTATAATGCCAGGCACTCTAAGCCTAACAATAACCAAGCACAGAGTGACTCACCCTTCCTGCTTATATTCCTGCTGGCGATGAGATTCATTTCCAGAGGCGGACCACTTTCTTGGACAGGCGTGCACTGTCCCTTTTAAGAGGAGGTCCAGTGCGCATACATGCCTCTTCCTGCATGGCACTGGACGAAGGAATGAGCGGACACCACACATGGCAGCCGTCAGGCTCGGCGCTGCAGGGAGCAGCGCACCCTGTCTCCAGCTGTACAAGGAGAGCACCTGGCGGCGCGGGACGCTGCTGTAGGTAGCAGGTAAGTCCTCACCTAGGGTCCTATGGAGCTGCCCTTGAGTGTGCTAGTAGACACAGCAGAGCAAGCCTCTCCCTCCCTCCTTCCTTCTCCCTTTTGTAAAGCTAGTACATGGACGGCTGCTGTAGACTGTGCTGTCCCTTTTGATCTTGTACTGGACAGGACGTTCAGGGAAGAAGAGCTGAGAGAGTTGGAGCCAGCTGTTTGGAAGCATGAGGACTGTATTTGGGCATCATATATAAGAAATTATTTTCTGGGCAATGTATATTTGTTTGATCTGGATTCATTATTGAAATCAAGTTTGAGAGTTTAATACTATGTTAATTGGACAACTTGCAAATCCTTGTCTTATCTTTTGCACCAAGCCCCCCCACTGAAGCCACTTAGAGCAATCAGGTTTTTTTTCCTTAGGCTAAGTGGGCCAGAAGACACCACAATGAAGCTGTGGGCTAGTGCATATATTCTCTGATGTCTGAGACCAGCATTAAGTAACTTAACACCGGAACATATACGTTTGATGGAAAGGAGAGGAAGGACATTCAAAAAGAAAACCAATAGATTTTAAAGAAAACATTTGAAATACTACATTTGTGTAGCTTAGCTTAATGATAAGAATAGTTAGGTGCTGCATGCAATGCACCAGGATAATTTACTGTCCCTTTGTTACCTATACACCTCTTTTTTCTTTACTGCCTCACCACTGGAGTCATCCTTTGATGCAGTAAGAGATATTTAGTACTTCCAGGTATGAAAGACCATTAAACTCTCTCTCTGCCTAAGCACCCGGTTACTAGACCCAGGCAGTGGGGGTAGGCAGAAAGTCCTTAGCCCTCTGTTATCTCTATCCAGATTGAGCTTTCACAGGCCTTTTTCTCTTCTGTCCTATGGGCAAACAGTGATTTAAAGAAAAGGTGAGTATAAGGAGATGGGGGTTCAGGCAATTATAAGTGAACTGCAAGGGGGAAGCAATGGACTTATTTAAACGGTTTGAATTTGTAAAATGAAGGAAAACTTCTTGCGTGCGCTGTTTTTCCTACTTCTAGGGTTCTTTTGTCATTTCAAAATGATGTCTAGATTGCAGTGATCATTGACTTGTAGTAATATATTATGTGCATGTTATGCTCAGTATTTTTTCCATTTTCTTTTTCTTCAGGCAGTGGCATTGGACAGGGTAAGATTCTGCAGCGGTTCCCCGAGAAAGATTGGGAAGATAACCCTTTCCCCCAGGGTATTGAACTGGTAAGAGTTATACAAAAGTTTTCAAGTATGTATATTATGGTTTGTTACCTATATGAATCATTTGCTTTTAAGATGTATATAAATTAGATTAAGGTCATGTCATTCATTTTAATGTTGGTTATTAATGGGAACTGCAATTTCTGTCCATATTCAGACTTCTTATTACATGTAGACATTGGATAGACCCAGCTTTGTCCACCCAACATTATGTCCCCCATGCTTAAACTGGTGACACTGGGAGTAGAAATGTTAGTGGCTGTTTTTCAGTTTTTACTTATAATAGGGAGATAACCTCTAGCACAAAGTTTCCTGCATTGGTCTTTATCCCTACTTTTGCACTACCTGAAGTCTAATGGAGTAGCAAATATTAGCATTAAGAAGTTAACTTGACATTTTCCCCAAGAAAACATTAACATTTATACGGTATAAAAGCAAAATCAGTTTACGTCCTCTCATCATTGTAAACGCGTATACTGTTCTGCTAGTATGCATAGTTCATCAAGAATCTGTACTTCTGCACGTCCACTTGTGTAATTCAAGAATGGCCATCCATCTCTGCAGGACTTCATTAGAAGATCTTTTCTGCTTAGTGGTCTTGCAGTATGCTTTGATGTAGAAGCAGGTTGGCAGGTCAAGTAAAAGCGTATTTAAACTCAAGAACAAAAGTTGAATATATTCCAGCTTACCAGCCCTTAGATGTTGTGGCTGCATTTGTTTTCTTTTTTTTTTTATGGGTTTTTTACCTTTTTTTTTTTTTTTTTTTTTCCACCTGCCGATACTGCGAGTAACACACTTTGTCTTTGGCTGACAATACCCCTTCAATGTACTGTATCTACAGGGGTGTGGAAATTTAAAAAAAACACCTACTTGTCCAAGGACTAAAGCTGGGGCCCAATCTACTTGTCCCTCATGACAATCTACGTGTCGTGATACAAAAGATAGTTTCAACCAAAACCGTATTTAACCGTGCTAAGAAACACTCCTCATTGGTCAGCGTGGTCACCTGATTTGTAGTTTCACCACAGCTGGAGGGCTAGAGGTTCCCTACCCCTGCTTCAACACATGCATTATCATTGTTACTAATCAGCCCAGTGTTAGTATGTAATATTTGATTTTCTCTACAAAATCTTTTGCCAGTAACTTTTTGAGGTTTCTTTATTGATACTTATGTGTTATACACACCTTTTTTTTGTTTTTATTATAGTTCTGTCAACCCAGTGGATGGCAGCTATGCACAGAGAAGAATCCTCCAGCATTCTTCATCGCTGTTCTGACAGACATCAATTCAGAACGTCATTACTGTAGCTGCTTCACCTTCTGGGAGGAGTGTGCACCGGTACGTCATCTTTATCTGCTATGTACTATGCTATCCACCCATGGTTCTTATCTTCCTATACTATGTTGTTTCTGTATGCTTTGTCTGCAGTACTGCTCATGCAAGGCTGTTCAGTGAGCCTCTTTGGAGAGTAAGGGCACTTGCGCTCAACATGGGAAAAGCATTTGGTGGAGCTTAGGCATGAAATTTGGCTTAAAGAGCAACTTTGCACCCACCCCCTCCCCATATTTTTCGGTTCCTTTTACCATGTTTCTCTGTTAGCCTTCAGATACATATTCGCATACCAAGAGAATCCAGTATTGTTTTGCAGTAATCTGCCGCTTCAGTGTTGCACGCCCATTCCCGTACAACCATCTTCCTCTTATACGTCATCGAGAGCTAGCTGTCTCTCCCTGATGACACACATGTGCCATGGTGAGTCACCAGCGGACCAGCTACAAGAACCAGGTGTAGACAGCCACCCCCTTGACAATGTGCTGCTGCACTTGCACACATTCTATAGATTATTCCAATGCCTCCTGTGATGTGTGACATGAGTGACCTAGAAGGCTGGGGGCCCTGTCATTCTGGCCTAAGCAAGAAATGCAGGACAGGTATGAGGAGTTTAAAAAGGGTATTTCCAAAAAACAAAGAAAATTTGCAATTTTGTTACAGGAGGGGGCCAAACAAATATTGGGGGATGTGGAGAATGATGGTGAAGGTTTGCTGTAAGTATAAATGACACCGCAGCTTTGGCACCTGATAATTCTGAGAAAATTAAGAGGCTTTGACGTGCGAGGAAACAACTGGATTAGCGTGTTAAGTAATATGCAGAGATACCTACTCAGGAGCCTTATCCCTGGCTGGATCCACTGCTTGTATATTGTGTGGTATAGCAGTGGAGCTGAATTATCTTACTATGCCCCTTTTATGTCCTTTAGGCTTGCTGTAAAGGATGAATAGCTTGTGGAAATTGTGTACAGGATCGTCTAACTTTAGCCAATATGTTAGAAAAAAATGTCTTCATATTTTGAGTTGAAAGCCACAGAAATCAAAATACATCTGATAATTATATTTTTGACGTGCTTTTCTGTAATTATTTGTAAAATGTTTTCATAGAACCTTATTGACCAGAGGGATGGAGAAGCAGAGGAAGGTTCCCCCTTACCATCTACAACTCAGCTGTATGCTCCTAAGACTTTGGTGCTTGTATCACGTCTGGACCATCCGGAGGTCTTCAGGGTGAGCATTGCTTGCTGGCTTTAAATGGCCTTCCTTCTGTCTGTCTGGTGTCAATAGTCAAACCTGTTTTATAAATTTGTGACTATATTATATCAGTATATCATGTTTATAGGTTTCGTTTTCTTGTATGCAGCATGCATGAAGTACATTGTCTGCTACTAAATACTAAATATAATGAGGTACATCCTTTTAGAATAAAAGCCGGCTATAAACCTCCTGGCATGTTGGAGGGCTTTGCATCCTTTCATGCCCCATATTGTCCCACTAGCATTGGGTGCCGACTCTCATAGGAAGGCCTGGTTTTCGCTGACTCCTTGTGAACATTTTCCATCCTTGCAGACTTCATCTTCTCTATTGGTGTAAGTGCTTGCTGTTAGAAAAACTGTATTAGGCTGTAAATTTGCAATGGACCCATACAGATGAAGCAGCTAAAGGTAGGCACAGCATTGTGTCTATGATTAGGCAATATATATCATATTTCATGCATGGTGAATATTGTAACCACTTAGACACTGGCCTGTACGTAATTAAAGTATTGATAGGCTTGGTGGCTGCCATTGCTGACTGGCTTCTGATAATTCTACTTACCTGGCTGTAATGCTGGCCTGGTACAAGTATGCTGGAAAATGAGAGTCGGAAGTCTTCTGCATATTTGTTCTGGCCCAGCGACTCAAAGTATTGAAGCAGGCGGGTTAGCATAACAGCCAGGTAATTACCACCCCCCTACCAAGTTTTGTGTATAACAAAAATAAGAACATTTGCTGTAATCTACTCTGTTCTTGATACACAGTCAGTTTAAAGGAGACCTATGAGGAGAGTGTAATGCGGTCATCCCCATAGTTAGAGGCGACGTGTGACACTGCAGCTGTCACACGTTGGCTGTATTGATCGAGAACTGAGCATTCGCATACCGCTGATCGCTCAGTTCATGAATTTCTCCCTGCAGAGAGCGATGACTGTCAGTCACCTCTCCCCACCAGGATTCCCCTCTCAGTTTCTCCAGCGCTGATTGACATGGTGACAGGGGAGGGGGGCGGTCACAGCTGGCTCTGTCTCTAAAGAGCAAGCTGTCAATCGGATAGCTGGGTGGATCCGACAACATTGTTGAGATCTTTCGCAGCTGCAGCGCGACTCTGCGCTGTCAGGATATAGTGGGCAATAGCCCGCTATTTGCTGAGTTTTGGCCACAGGAGGACATTTAGTAAATATTCTCGTGTGTCCCAAAAGAGAACAAACACCAAAAAAGGTTTGGCCATATTTCTCTTTTAAGCACAATTTCCACAATTCTCATTTGTGAGTTTGTAATACAATAAAACATTGTTGACATGTTTACTTTCTTACAAGTTAAACCTACACATAATGGGTTCTATATGTGGCAGTGGTGAACATGATGGTAATAGCTGTCAGTAATGAGATGATGTACATAAGAATATATTCTTGCACTGGTAGCCCATCAAGAAAATGAGCCATAAAATGCTTTTTTTTCCTTGGCATCAATTATAAAAATCAGACCTGCATACACATTGTACAGTTAAGCAGCGTGGAGTATATTTTTAGCGAGGGAAAAAGTGTGCTAGCTGATAATAGTGTATGTGTTTTGGCTGGGGGATGAGGAGACACATTTGTTCCATCCCTCAGGCCTACTGTGAACTCTAATTGACCAAATACTTAATGCTTATGGTTCTGTATTTAAGAGGAAGATGTACTGATGCAGCACATTTCATTTTACAGGATTCCCTGGGCCTGATTTATACCATTCATACGGATGGATTGAGTGTGTCTCTGGAGAATGTCGTTGGAAACTTGATAACCTGCACTGTCCCTGTCGCTGGAGGCTCCCAGGTCAGTGTTTCCCTCCTGACCCATTCATTCATTGTTCCTGGGGTCTGTCACAGAGGGCTCCTCTTAGCATTTGCTGCCTGCCCATTAGGACCTAGTAGTTGTTAGCTGCTTTACGATTGTGTATGTTGCTTTCTGACTCCGTGTTGATATGTTTTTTTTTCTCAGTCTGACCTGGAGCAGGATGGTATGGTATGCACTTCATTATAATTCCTGCCACACTGCACACTGCCTGCTTCTCCTCTTCCATCACATCCTTTGATATGGGGGAAGCATCCTATCCCCAGCACTAAGGTTTCAATAAGAAGTTTGGGAAGGCATGAGAGCCACTAACCAAAATGGAATCACAAAACGAGCTTTAAATGTTATTAAATATATGCACGGAAAACTAAAAATATAGAGTTTAACCAGTTCTTTAGTATATTGAGAAACATTTGTTTATATGAAGAGTAATTTCCCTGTGAAGTCCCATTTCTGAAGCCCTTTCCAGTTCTGACTAACATCTACTCACAACCACAGATAGATTTATAAAAAGAGGAAATAGACATGACTGGACCACAGACGACTTTTTGTTCATTCGGATTACAGGAATAACAGCGATTAGTTGTTAAGCACTTTTGGGCTTTAAACTGTGAAGGGTTTAGGCAAAAACGTAAGCACAGTCAAACTTTTGTTTTCTGTAGCAAAGTGGGGAAGGGTACCGATACCGAGTATTTAGGCGAGTACTCTCCCAAATGCTCCGATACTTATCCCGATATCGGAACTTCCGGTCAGAGGGAGATTTCCTCTGACCGGCGGTGTTGTGAGGGAACATGGAGACGGCTTCCTGGCGAGTCAGTAAGTCGGGCCGTGGGTAATGACTTGCGGTCCTGATTGGCCGGGAAGCCGGCTCGATGCTGATTGGCCAGGAAGCCAACTTCCCAGCCAATCAGCATCGAGCCAGCCAATCAGGAAGCCGGGCCATGGATGATGACCTGGCTTCCTGATTGGCTAGGAAACCGGCTTCCCAGCCAATCAGCATAGAGCCGGCCAAACAGCATGGAGCCGACTTTCCGGCCAATCAGGAAGCCGGGCCGCGGGTGATTACCTCGCATCCTGATTGGCCGCAAAACTGGCTACGTGCTAATTGTCTAGGAAGCAGGCTTCTCAACCAATCAGCATCAAGCCGCCCAAACAGCTGGCTTGATGCTGATTGACTGGGAAACTGGCTTCCCAGCCAAGCAGCATGGAGCTGGCTTCCCAGGCAATCAAGAAGCCAGGTGCAGGTAATGACACGTTCCCCAGCTTCCTGATTGCCCGGGAAGCCGTGCTCTATGCTACTGAAAGTACTTGGTATTGGCGAATACCGAAAGATAAATATCGGTACGCGATACTGAAAAACCGGTATCTTGTGGCCAAGACTCAACCACTGTCGGCTTTTTATTTCTTTCTATCTCCCCATTGTGAAAATATTATCACAGTGACAAGGGGGTCAGAGGGACCGAAAGTGATGACAAATGTATCCAATGGGGATTGAAGGTGTGCCTGCCTTTCTTGTTGACATCTACCCCCCTTCTCCATTTCTTGTCCTAATGTTGCAGGCATAAAAAGTTAGGGTAAATTTCCTTGTGTCATAAACCTCAATAAGAAGCCGACTAAAGTTCTAACCCTTCTCATTCCATCAATAACTCTTACATTCTGATGGTGCACATATGCTGAACCATTTCAATTCAGTCTAGATCTGTAGGCCTTAAAGCATCTTGGGGATAAGTGTATGACTGTCTCTCGAGTCATGTAGCTCCTTTAAATAGGAACTTGTGAATACATTAGCTCAAAAATGTTCTCTTATTTTTCCATAAATCAGTTAACTGTTGTATTGAGAGGTAACTCCCAGAGTATAGTCATAACTTGGACACACTGTAGCTGCTTTACTAGCAAATATATATATTTTTTCTGATGATATTACATAGTAAATGTATTTTGCTTTTAAAGTGTGGTCACCAGGACAAATAGAGGCACAAATCTCCCCAGGGGGACACAAACTGCAATTAAAACTGGAAAAAGGGTCCAACCCTTCTACATTCCATCCCAAACTTACCAAAGATTTTTCTATATACTGTTCCGAAAGAGAATGATTGCTTAAGGTGAAGCCGTGTTAAATTTAATTGAATCATGTTAAAGTTGAAGTCCCAAGAGAACAGCATCTACTCCTTTTAGTATATTAACCTCCAATAATATAAAGAACCTCAATAGGCAAGAGTTCTAGTCTTGCATCTGTTTTCTTACGATGAAACACAAATTCTTAAAGCTGCACTCTTAAAAACACAAATCAATGCAGCCTTTTAAATCTTTTCTATTTCATTAAATGTATATATAAATGCTGGCAGTGTAAGTCCTTGACTTGCAGCTGCAGTACAGCAGGGCTCACACTGGAGAAGGAGTAGCATATTATATCATTTTATCTTTGTGGTTAGCTGTTTGCTTGGAGTGGCGCTTTAAGCTCCTAAAAATGGCCACCGCTAGTGATGTTGTGAAACAATACTAGAAGTTCTACAACTACAAAACTCTGCCATTCTGCAGGATGTAATACCGTATATACTCGAGTATAAGCCGAGATTTTCAGCCCATTTTTTTGGCTGAAAAGTGCCCCCCTCGGCTATAGTATTCCTTTTTAAAAAGGTGAATTCTGGTTGGCTCATTCGCCTACTTGCTTTTTGCATTGTATCTTTTGGGGTCTCAACACAAGATCTCCATGCCATAATTTGATTTTCTACTTGTTTTGGAGTCCTGGTCCTCTCGCTTAAGCAGATGTTTGCACTCCTCCTTTTACCTTCTCCATAGTGTTATAAAGTCCCATTCACCCACAAATTGCTCCATTAGAATCATGCCAATAGCTGCAGGTGTGAGCCACTGTACAAAGCAACTTGCACCCAGGGATGCTTGTCCTGGCAGCGGTCATTGTTCTTTACAGTGCATGCTGCCTGCAGCTGTTTACATGAGATTCATGCGATTGGCCTCAAGTGTGAATAGGGCCTAAAAAGTTTTTTCTTTTGGGGGTTGTGTATCTTCCCTAATTTAGTGTAGCAGATCTGGAACCTCGCCACGGAGTCTGAAAGATAGAAGAAAGATGATCTAAGTCTGCATCCTCTACTGGAAGATACGATTTGGGTCAAACAATGCTTTAATCTAACAGGGTAGTTGTTATGCAGCACTTTAATGTGCCTGAATGAGAAAATACACTGAGTGGCCAGATTATTATGACCACCTGATGTTTGTAGGCTAATTAGCTATAATTTTGCGCTGAAGTTGCTAGAGGGCCAGAACATTATAAATAGGGAAGCAGGTTGTTTACCACGACAGTAGAAGTGATTTTTTTCTGAAGATATGGGTAAACAACGCGATTTAACAGCCTTTGAACGTGGGATGATTGTTGGCGCTCGGAGCCATGGAGCGAGTATCAGCAAAACAGCAGAATTCGTTAAATGTTCAAGAGCAGCTGTTGTTAAAGTGTTTAAAGACTGGACTGTCAGCCGAAAATCTGGGTCTGAACGTGCGAATTGTGGCGGTCAGCGACTAGTCAATGTTAGGGCAGAACGGAGAGTGGCAAGACTGGTACAAGACAACAGAAGGGCAACAGTGCAGTGTCAGATTCCTCGCATCACCTTTCAACAACTCGTGGAGTCACGAGGCGGCCCAACGAAGTCATCTGGTGGAGTTATCTCGTGGCCCAACGAAGTACTGATGGGGTGGTCATAATAATCTGGCCACTCAATGTATGTTCCTATTTTAAATAGGAGAGATTGAAGTAGGCACAGACCTCTTGGCTTCACGTTTTAATCCAGCTTGGCGAACCTCGGGCCAACATGTCTAAAAAGCTGTGTGCAACATTTTCATGTGCGTTGGGAAGTGTTTCCGTTCAGACAGGAGCTCATTTTAGGTGTGATCGGGTGCAATCTCTAGTGTGTTTTTGTTGCGCCGTTCTTTACTGATGTATGTTTTCATGCATTCTGCGTTTCTTTGGTCAATGAAAGTCAAGTAAGGTGGTGGTTGTTGGGTGTGAGGGCTTATTGTCATGCACTTAAAGACATGAAAATAAACATAACTTGCGTTTTTCATGTGCTGTCATTGATGTGTAATGGGGCAAAAACACGCGTTACCGTACTAAGTCACATTCAGACAACAGTGGCATTTCCCTAGTCATGCATGAACATACATTAAATTGCATAGTTAAAGGGCCTTACTCACTACAAACTGAGCTGCTCACTTTACTTAGATCTCACAATTAATAGTACGTTGCTGCTCTTCTGCCCTTCCTCTGTGTTTGATAAATTCCCTTGTTTATGCTCTTCTATATAAACCGCACCCTAATGATTTCCATCTGTGCTACACATGGTGCATAATTGGAGGATAGCTTTGTCTGCACTGAGTAAGGATGTGCTCCATCCATGAGAAACAAATACCTGCATGATGTTACACTTGTATTCATTTTTATAAAGCTTTGTTAACTAAATACAGTTTATATTTAGATTTACAGAAGTGTTACCCTCGTGTAGTGTAGATGTCAGTGATGTCAATATAGTGACACACTATATACATTTTAAAATTGCATTCCATCAATAATTACATAAGCTTATTCCTCTTGACCCTCATGGCTGTTGTATTGCTGAACCTTAATAGTAAATTGTTTTTTTGCTGCCCACCCTTACACTCCCTGTCCTTAGTCTTCTCTTCTGAGCCTTGTTGCTTTATACAGTCCACCTTTTACCCCTCCTTCTATCTGAGCTGCGCCACCTAGTATTTAGCATAATCCAGTATCTTTCCTTGCTCTACCTTTTTTATCTTCTGGATGTATAGATATCAATTCTGTGTTTGCAATATCTAAATGTTTCTATTCGTGCTATTTGCAGAGAACGATATCACTGGGAGCCGGAGATCGTCAAGTGATCCAGACCCCAATTTGTGACTCTCTTCCAATCAGTAACTGCAGTGTGGCCCTGCTATTTCGACAGCTTGGTATGCAATATAACTGGTCTCTAAATTTCTGTTTCTGATGGTTGTACATAATGTACATTTAGCTCCACATACAATTTTATATTACCTGACAGCATATTACAAATGTGTTAGCTAAATCGCATATCCTGCCTAGACTTCTCTGCATGTTTTCCTGAGGTAGTCATTCATAAATAAACTGTGAATTCTGGGAATAGACATCTTATGCACTGGCAGGAGCATGCTTAAAATACTTATGACATCAGATAGCTGGCCATAGGCTGGTATACAAGCATTCATACAAAAAATCAGAACATTCCATAATGCTTTCATTTCAAACTGTTTGGTTTTACATTCGATTTTGGAAACTGAGTTTTCCAAATGAAAATCACATTCACTATTTGAATTTCATTTTTTGTTTTGTTACTATGGATTTTATTCAATCATCAATTTGACCCTATTAACTATTAGAAAATCCTTTAAACGCTCTGGAACCAAGTGTTTTTCCCGAATGAAATTGTACTGGTGTATGGCCAGCTTAAGTGGTCACATGGAGTCAGAAATTCCCCCATTCCGGCATAGTTTGCTTTGCTAATTGCTTTTATGCATTTACATGAGATCTAGTGTAAATGGTTATCTTTTCCCATTATAATACAAGCATACTTTAATTTCACCCACATACTTGCTAACTGTAATTTGTCATTCTACAAAAGATCATGCAACCTCTTCTGTAGTAATAAATGACCGTTTCTGCCTGTCTTCATTTTTGCTATAACTCCTCTGTTCCCAGGCATCACCAATGTATTGTGCCTCTACTGTGCGGCTCTTACTGAGCATAAGATCTTATTTCTGTCCCGGAGTTACCAACGCTTGACAGAAGCCTGCAGAGGCCTTCTGGCTATAATGTTCCCACTTAGATACAGGTACAGTGTCTGTTTCACATTATCTTATTTATTAGTATGTATGTTTATATTCTTGTTTGATTTATTATACTAAGTCTACTCAAAGGTGTACTGTTCAGAGGAACAAACCTAAACAAAACAATTTAATTTGCTGTGATATTGGTAGGTGTAGTATTTCATGTGCTTTGTCCTTCATGTGTTCTGTCTATCTTTCAGTTTCACATATGTTCCCATTCTACCTGCTCAGCTTCTTGAGGTCCTTAGCACCCCCACACCATTCATCATTGGAGTAAATGCTCTGTTCCGGTCAGAGACACAAGACCTGGTAAGGATATCATTTAATATTGGGATTTTCTAGGCCAGTTTAGAAAAGTTAGCACATTATTCACTTATTTAGCACTGATGTTTGCTTTTTAGTGCATGAAAATTTTAATAAAAAAAATAGGGCTGCCTGTGGGGGTGTAAAATCAGCTGAAGACAATGTGGTAGAAAAATAAAGGATGCCTCTCTGCTTTGTTGAAAGTTTTCATTTCAGCCAATTCTTGAACAACATATATAGTAGGGATGCACCGATACCGATACTACGGTAGTATCGGTGCCGAGTATTTGGGCGAGGACCCGTACTTGCCCAAATGCTTCGATGCCTTGCCCGATACTTGAGCTTTCTGGTATCGGGATGGTGGGAAGCGAGTCATTACGCGCTGCCTGGCTTTCTGATTGACCGGGAAGCTGGCTCCATGCTCCATCATCTCTTGTGACGAGTGAGCATGGAGCCGGCTTCCCGGGCTTTCCGATTGCCCAGAAAGCCGGCTTCATGCTCCCTCGTCAACCTGGTGATGAGTGAGTATGGAGCTGGCTTCCCGACCAAGCAGAAAGCCAGGCAGCGCGTGATGACTCGCTTCCCACCTTCCCGATACCAGAAAGCTCAAGTATCGGGTTAGGCATCGAAGCATTTGGGCAAGTACGGGTCCTCGCCCAAATACTCATCATTACACGTTTTTAATGCCGTGTTGCCCTGCTTCCTGATTAGTAGAGAAGTTGGTAAATCAGGAACCCGGGCAATGTGTCATTACACAGCGCCCAGCTTCCTGATTGGCCAGAAATCCGGCTTCATGCTTTCTCGTCACTGGTTGACGAGGGCGCCCGGAGACGGCTTTCCTGCAAATCCGGGAAGCTGGGTGGCGAGTCTTTACATGCTTCCCGGCTAACCAGCAAGCCGGGTGGCGAGTCATTACATGCCACCTGGCTTCCTTAATGGGACTTCCGGTATCGGTATTCGGTATTGGTGAGTACCGAAAAACAAATATTTGTACTCGATACTGAAAAACCGGTATCGGTGCATCCCTAATATAAAGTTTTTATAATTGTAAAAATAGATTAAAAAAATGTAGTTTCACGGTAAAATACGTAGAGGGAAATAGAAAATAGTGGAGAAATTGCCTGGTACAGCTTTGTAAATGGCTAAACATGGGGATTTTCATTTACCTAGTGCATTACGGTGTGTCCATAGATGGCAAATAGGAGCACCATTTCTGATAATTGGTTTGTGTAGGGCTTACTGACCTAGCAGTATTATGCATGAGCATCTTTTAGAACTGTACATTAGAAAACATGGGTCTGCCAGAATTGTGATGTAGAATTTGTGGCTGAAAATTGATCATCATTAACAGACAACCTTGCTGGTTGTTCTTGGTGAAAGATCTTTCTGTCTGTGGGCAGTCTGATTCTTTCTGTTCGTTTTCCTTGATTCTAATTCTTGTTCCCCTCTAACATTTCTTTTCTTCCTCAGCTTGATGTGGTAATTGCAGATTTAGATGGTGGCACTGTAACGATCCCAGAATGTGTCCAGATTCCTTTGTTGCCTGAGCCGTTGCTCCATTATACACTAGAGGCCTTGTCACAGGTAAGAGAAGCTTCTGTCTCTGATCACCTTTTTATATACAGTATTTCCCCTGAGAAAAATGAAGGCATTGCCCATAGCAATATGTCAGTTTTCAGCTCTTCATTTTTCCAGCGCAGGTTAGAATGTCATGTAACTGATTTTTGGATAATGCTGCAGGTTTTCATCTCCACTAGTTTTTCCAGATCACCCTTAAAGTGCATATCTACTTTTGCTGACAAGTTGGCATAACACCTATTTTATATTTGTTACATGTTTCATTCACATAGCATAATATAAAAGGTTAGTTTTTTTTAAATATTTATAAGTATGCAGTGTGAATGGGGACACACAACATATAGTGTTTTGTCCCCTCACATTTGACTGCAGAAGTGGAACTACACTTTAATTTCTTTGTACAGGCCACAGTCGCAATTGCCTTCTGTGATTTTTTTATTTTATTGCGGAAGTCTTGTGCCACCTAGTGTTGTATTTGACAGTATCTCAGAGATAACAATGTAAATATGCTGCAGGTTGCCTCCCAGCAGGAATACTTCACAGACAGATAAGGGAGCATTTGCACCTTTGGTCAAAGCGACATTGTAAATTAGAAATAGTTGACAAAGGCAGGATGATTGCATTGCCACAGAATAGAAATACAGGGGAGTAAAATAATTTGTGAAGATGGGAATTAGTACATAAGGTTTATTGAAGCATAAGACACCTATTATTTGTAGCAGTTTTTGTTGAACACCGTAAGGTGTTTCAGTTTGAGACTGTTCTGGGATTATTCAGAATTTGCTGGCAGGTGACCTTCTGTCCGCCTTTTAAGCTGCTTTTTTATTCCCATTATTTTGTATCGGAAGAGAAGCAGTTCTGCTGTTGCTGACCTCTCCTCCTCCAAATGATGCTTGTTACTTGACTGTCATGCTTAGGTCATTGGCTGCCAGACTTTAAAGAAGAACACAAGGCACATTTTTTATTAACCCTTGAAGTGGACTACCCCCACACTGCAGGGGTTAACCGCTCGTTAAATAGTTATACTCACCTGATCCTCGGAGCTGGCTTGTTCTTGTTCGGTCTTTCCAGCCTCTCTCCCCCTCTCATGCAGCAGTCTAAGGATCCTCGAGTCATCATGTTCTACACCAGGGCTCAAAATTTCAAGTCCTGAGCTACTAGCCAGGCCTTAAGAGTTACTCGCCACCAGTCGCCCACCCTGTTCTACACAGTGTGTGTAGATGTGAGGACCCCAAAGGGACATATCATCACTGCAGTGTAGCAGGCTGGAGGGAGTGCTGTGACAGCTGGCTGGCTCATCGGTTCGGGTGAGTATTAAAAAAAATGTTTTGCAACTAGACCAAAACGAACATTTAACCTTAGCAGTGCGGGGGTTAATAAAAAAAAAAGCAGTGCGGTACTGAAATGAAAGGGAGAAAAAGGTAAAGTGTAAAAAAAAGAAAGTTGGGAGGAGATCAGCCACACACATAGCATTAGAACAAGTGAGGTTAGTAGTAGAATTCCCCTTATCTTTTCATAGAATGTTGCATGAAGTAAACCTATGTGGATCACTGTGACTACAGCCACATAGTGTTGGGTGTATAAGATTGCATGGGCATCTAGTAATGGCAGCTGAACAAATTTGTGAGATGTGTTTATAAAACTGGGAGAAATACGGGACTGCCTTTCCTGATCTAATTATACTAGGTGCACTTCTTTTTTGGCCTTTAGCCCTCATTCACACTAGAAAATGCCGGCAGGTACAGCTCCGTGCTGCATGCACAGCCGCATCGGGCAGCTCCCAGGAAGGACAGGTGCTGCATGTGATTAGTACGCAGCCCCGTCCTTCTCTAGGGAGTACGCAGCCGTACGCCGCCCTATGCTCACCCGCCCGTACTCGTATGGACAGGATGGACCCTGTCTGCGTCCGAGCCAGGAGATAGAGAAGGACGGGGGCTGCGTACTAAGCACACGCAGCACCTGACTTCCTGGGAGCTGCCCAATGCGGCCGTGCATGCAGCACGGAGCTGTACAAGCCGGCATTTTCTAGTGTGCATTTTCTAGAATGAGGGCTTATACTTGAGTCATTCACTCGAAGCAAGCCTGCAAATTAGAAGGTCAGAGTATAGTCGACACTCCCGGTCTTCTTGTTTTATGTTGGTTCGTCAGAAATGAATAAAGATGGTTTCAAGATGAGAGCCAGGCAGTCAGCGTTTTCAGAAGGATCGATTAGCAATGATACCCTCTTCATTAATTCTCTCGCTCTCTCACTCGTTCCCTCTCTCTCCCTTATCATTAATAACAATGCTGAAACATAATTAGAAAGAGTGGGCTTTTCCCAAATGGACATTTGATGTAAATATTTGATTCTGTTAATTTCCGTCAGATTGGCTAGCATACACTCTTCTTCCTTAGGTCCTAGATCCTGCTCTTCAGATAGCTGATTTGGCATTCCCTCCATCTTCCATCACTGCCTCCACGCTTCGAATGCAGGTAAATATTTTTACTTTTGTTACCATAAGCAGTCCTCATGTTTATCATGTTGCTGCTGTGGGGACACACACAGTACCAGAGAAGATATCCTAAGGTTCTTTTTGTTTTCATCTGATTAATGACATTTCTTGATGATCAGGACCTGCACTCCAGAGTAAGGTAAGTCACAGAGGGACATAAAGGGACATGGGGAGCGTAATTTGTGACAGGGTGGAGCTAGAGGTTGATAATGGATTGATAAGTTACTCAAGCAGCAATTTCCATTTTTTGAAAGATATTATTGTATTAATGAAAGGCATTTCACTTTTTTGTTTATATGAAGCATATTTAGATTTCATAATACTATACAGCAGTTTGAGATGTGATGAAAGCAATCTGTTATTATGTGCTGCATGTATTTGCGTTTTATTGTAATGTTAGGACACCTATTGTGTCTAATTTCAGTGTTAAACGAAGGGTTACGTACCATTGTATTGTTTTCTGGCAGGATATGGAAGTGCGTGCTGTGTTCCTTCGTCTCTTTGCTCAGATCTTGCAAGGTTATCGCTGTTGTCTACAGCTGATCAGAGTTCATCCAGAACCAGTTATACGATTCCACAAGGTCAGTGTGGTCTTCTGTCATAAACATGTCTCATGTATTTTATTTTATTTGCTAGTGCCATTGAGTATCATGTTTTATGACTTCATGTCCCACTCCAGGCTTCATTTTTAGGTCAGCGTGGATTAGTTGAAGATGACTTTTTGACCAAGGTTCTAGAGGGCATGGCTTTTGCTGGCTTTGTCTCAGAGAGAGGTCCCCCATACAGATCACTGGATTTATTTGATGAGGTAGGCCAGAGATTTATTTCTGAAGGAAGATAGCATTTACCGGTCTATAAAAATGGTGCACTTACTATTATTATTACCATTTGTTTTTTCTGAAGCTGGTTGCCTACGATGTGAAGAAACTTCAGTATGACGAGGGAAATCAAAAACATCTCATGAAGTATATTCGGGATTTGGCCGAGAAGCTCTATCGAAACGTATGTTCTAAGAGATTGATACAAGGGACATAACCATCCAACATTTACCTGACCACATGTTCAGCAGTAATGCCATAGCTGCATGCTACAATTTCCTGCGGCAGACTTGTGGCTCACCAATATGCTCGAATTCAGAGGGTGTTATCAAACTTTTTTGTGACCATAGCAAGTATGTGGTATTTAGAGGAGATCACTCAAACATCAGATTTGCAGAGGACTTTTATCTTCAAGTCTTCATAATCCTAGGTTGCATTGCAGTTAGCTTTCAACATGTTCAAAAGCATTTTTTTTTATATTTTCACACCACGGTTATGTCTAATGCTTAGCAGACTTTATATAAGTGATGTTGCTGGCTTTATTTTTATGCTGAGTATTGAGCGGTTATTGTATCCATTACTTTTTGTGTGAAAGTTATTGAACATTCCCTTTATTTTCCCTTTGTCGGTAGGAAAACCCTTACCCAGCTGTCAGCATGCATAAAGTACAACGACCTGCAGAGGGCAGTCATTTGCGACCCCAGAACAAGCCTTTCCCTTTGCTGGATGAAAGCAGTATACAATGGATCTTGGACCAGGCTGCTGTAAAGCTGCAGAACGCACCTCCAGCTGTTAAAGCAGAAAAGAAATGCATGGTGCCTCCTGGACCACCCATTGGTTTGTGTTTTGGTTCTCTTGGCACTTTATCATCAGACTAGTCAAAACTCATTTTCATACTACTTGCTGTAGTCCACGTATTTGTTTTCTATACAGTTTTACTGCCTTTTCTAACCCACCCTAAATTAAATTAATTTCTGGGTTTTTTCCCTTATATTGTCTTTTCTTTTTCTCACTTTGTTGTTCTTTTATTACTTATATGTAGAAGCAATTGTGGAGCGGAATGGCAGTGCTCTAGCTAATAGCAACCGGCGGCTAGAAGTTGTGAGGAACTGTATTTCTTACATCTTTGAGAACAAAATGCTGGAAGCCAAAAAGGTGACTATTGTGGTTTAAGTAGATTATTAAAAGGCAGTACAGTTATTGTATGTATGCAGGTTTTTGTTTGTTTCCTGCATCTTTTGATATGTGCCCCCTGGCCTGTCTAAAATATATATATA